ACCCACCGTCCTGGCCACGCCACGACAGTGTCACCCACTGTCCCCACCCCGCCAGTGTCACCCACCGTCCTGGCCCCGACAGTGTCACCCACCGTCCCCCCCCCCCCCCCCCCCCCCTTGCCCCCCCCCCCCCCCCCCCCCGCCCCCGCCCCGCGCCCGCCCCCCTTGGCCGCACCCCCACCCAGCCACGGCCCCGGCTCCGCTCCAGGCCGCGACCCCCGCCCGCAGGCAGGAAGGGGCATCGTATCTGGACCACATATACATTTTATTATTAATAATTTTTTAAACATTAAAAGATCGGACGCGGGGGAAAAAAAAAATAATAATACAGGAGGGAAAGAGTGTAAAAAGGCTGATTTCTGGGTTCCAGCCCCCTCCGGCCCCACACCAGCACAGGATGGGGGTCTAACACAACCCCCATCCTGGGAAATGGGCATCACAAAGCCAAATCTGCATTAAAACCCCCTCCTCGATACCCAAGACACAGGGCTGAAGCAGGGAGCAGGGGGCATCTGCTGCCATCAACTCCCGTGCCTTACCCGTGTCCCAAGGGACATCCCATCTCGGGATGCAGCTGAACACACATGAAACCAGTTCCTTCCCAGCTGAAAAAAAAATTAAACTTGGGAGGAAGGAGGCAGGGAGGAGTCTTCCCTGGAGAAAGATTAATTCAAGATTAGCTGGAGAAGGACGTTGCAGGCACCGAGTGGTGGCTGAACCAGTATCTTCAGAGCTCCTGCTGCTCTGAACTTAGAGCTGGGAGTTAAACCAAAATCTCTTTTTCCCCTCCCTCCCCTGGTTTCACAGAGAAGACTCAGTCCCCATTGATCCCTTCTCCTCCTCTCTGTGTCCAGAGCTGTCGCCTGCAGGATCCTTGTGGAAGCAATGGGTCTGCCACGGGGGGACAAGGAGAAACACATCCCTCCACACTCCCCCCACTGCTCCCAGATTTTCCTTCATGCCACGTTATCCCAACTCTCAGAAAGCCAAGCAGTTAACGAGGTCAAAATGCAGCATCGTGTGAGTGTAATAAACCAGAAGTACAGTTTCTGTTCTTAAAATTAATGACAAACTACATGCACATTACAAAACCCCCCCAAAACATCAGATAATCAAATTCTTCGTAGCAAAGGCCAAGAGAAGAGAGAGAGTAAAATCAAAAACCTGCTTCCCCTTGTCTTCCTGCTACAGACAGAGCGAGGGGAGGAAGAGACAAACACCTGGTAGGTCCTGGATAGAGAAATATATTTACTTCAGAGAATGTCTCCCCCATCTCCCCACACCCTAAAATAAGACAGGGAAAACTAATCATCAAAACCGTAGCTCAGCTGAAGCTAAAAAAACCTCTTCTCATCAGGAGTCGGCATCACAGAGCTCACATGGTACCCCCAAAAGTGCATTTTTAGGGAAAAAAAAAAAAAGGAGTGATAAGGGCAGAGAAAACAAGGGGGAGGCAGCCCGGGAAGGGCTAGTTTTGCTGGGAAGGGCTAGTTTT